ACATTTTTCAAAAAATTACTATTTAAAACAATTTTTTACTAAAAAAAGACAACCAAACATGGGCAAAGATGGTAGTAGAAAATGTCAAAATTTTATTATTCAATAAAAATAGTTAATAATATATTTGACAAAAATTGACCCGTCGCTTAAACCAGTGGATCACCGATCGAACCAATGGCTCAAGACCTGTTGCATTATCCGGATCAAATCTGACAACTATGACTGATAACGTGTCCCTCCCCAATTATTGATGCTCAAAGAAGTGTAACATATATATGTCTAACGCTGTCTTTGTGAAATAAGCCCACACTTCTTCTACAGTTATTTGTAAAGGTACATTATTATATGCTCTAATTACAGAATTTTCTCATTTGGTTATAGTACTGGGTCTGTTTTGAGGTTTACAGTTATTTAATTCTAAAATTAATCATCTATCGCTTGCTGCTGGTGAACTATCCTTCTTCTGACTATCTTTTTCCTAAACTTTTATATTTTTTTTTCTTTCCATTCATATATATTTGTAGGGAGAAAATGATATTCTCCTTCTATATTGTATTCTGTATTCATGGGTTATTTTCTCTTTTCAAATTGTGGGTCAGTTTCTAATTTAGTTATTTTATTACCTTCGTTGCTTTGTTACATGTTAGTTTTTATATATTTTTTTGTCCTTTCCTAATAACATTGTAATTTCAATTTCTCTAGATTTTCTAAGATTTCTATAATCCATGTCTATATATTTGAATTCTTTTTCATCGCTTGACTTTCTTCTTCCTCAATGTCTTCATCTAATACTTTAACTTCATCTTCATTTTCATAGTCTTCTATTTCAAAGTATCTATATTCCTCATCGTTTTCTTCTTCATTATGCTTTGTATGTTCTGCATGAGAATTTTAATTTTTAAATCTAATACTGAGAGTTTCATTACTATTTTTGTACATAATATTAGCTTCGGGTACTAATTTCGATCTTTCTAACAGGTTTTCTAGATTCCAGTCTAATCCTGCATCTGTTTCTGAAGAGAATTTCTTTGTTGGAATGACTTTTATGCATTTTTGTCCTAATAAAGTAATTATTTAATTATTTTCTAATTTATAATTGGTAGTGCTATTTTTCACTAAGTCTTCCTATGAATTCTGTACAATTAACAAATTGTCTTCATCTCTTTCCATTTGATATCATTTACTTTTAAAAAAAATTCTTAACTAAATAATTTGGTGTAAAGTATACTATTCCGCATTTATTATTCATGTTTAATTTTATGCTTCCTAATATTTCTTGTTCTATAACTGTGAATCTGCTATCATATTAACATACTAATATTTTGGCTTCTAAATTTTCTATATGAAGTCATTTTACTCATACTATTATTAATTATAAATGAGTTTGTTGAAGATTTTCATTAACAATTTCTTTATAAGATCATTTTTCTATTAAATCTAGGGATACAGATTGATCTTCATGTGTACAAGAAATATATGTTTCACCATAATGTTGATATATTAAGGACTTACTAAATATATTCCCTTTTTTATACATGTCTAAAGTTTTTACTAATTTTA